GCGGTGGCTGAACCAGCCCCCGCCGCCCACGCTAGGAGGCCCCAGCCCCACGGGGCAGCATCACTGCGGGGAGCCTGTTGTCCTCCCTTCGTTCCAGGAGGCCCCGGGCACCCCGCGCTTGCACCGTCCCCTTGAGGCACATGGGCAGCGGCTCCCTGAGGCTCGCACGGCCGCTTTGCCGCCTCGCAGCGCGCGTGGCAGTGCCAACATGGTGGCTGCAACGGCAGAGACTTCCAGAAACCCAGACGGCGGCAGCGAGGCGAAGCCATGGGCGACCCGGGGCCCATGTGCCCCAGCACAGCTTCAAAATGAGAGCACCAGCACGGGCCGCGTGTGCCGCTCCAGCAGTGACAGAGCTGAGTGCCGCCTTCCTGATCCATGTCCTCTTGCTTAGCAAAGTAACGAGGGAAAAGCTAATTGGTATCCAGCCATTAGAGGAAGGGGGGAAAAAAAACTCCAAGTCATACCCTGAATACAGTATTTATTTAAAGCGTGCAAACAGACAAGTGAAAATGCAAGCGACAAAAGCCGTCTCCTGCCATGATGCTGTTGGCATTCTGCGTGGCACCTTCACAGCAGAACTGCTTCATTATTGATTTGCAGCAGGAACCATACTCAAAAGTCATCTACTTTTGATTAGAATAATAAAGAACAACATGGATTTTTTTTTAAACATCCAGTCTAGTAAAGAATCCCAACCAAATTGCTATTGTTTTCTGCGCTCAAGTTTAAGTTCACCAGCAGACTGCACTGGAAAACACTTTGCAGAGGGACAGGTAAATTCTTTATCACTTCTTAAATCTTTATTTAAAGAGATTTGTCCTAGTTCAGCTGCATGCTCTGCAGCTCACTGCAGAAAATACTTGAGACTTTGGTCTGCATTATGCTTGAGGTGAATATAAAGGTTTTAACACAGGTATTTGAACTACTTGAATAAAAAGGGTTGTTACTATGGGGAGAAAAAAAGCGCTCTTTATTTCTCTTAAGACAGTTGAGCTTTCTTTTCCACCAGTTAACTGGTACTCTTGCCTATGACACTCCATATGGCATCAATGGATCTAGAAGAATCCCTTTGTTTAATTCTGATAAGACCATAGAAACTGGGCTCCGTATTGTCTATATCAAAGCCAATAAGCATTAAACCTATTTTACAGGTACAAAACACTGGTAAGGCCACAAATTATATTACTATCAGAGCACTGTTAGGTATTAACACCTTATGTCCTTTTATAGTCAGATGGCTGGACAAGTCATTAATGAGAGTCTAAGCACAAAATATTGTCAGCGCTAGTGCTCCAGTTGTGCTCAGTAGTACCTCAGGACTCAGCAGGTTAGTCCCTGCTTCAGAGTAACACAGAGGCAAGTGGGAAAACAGAGACACGGAAAAGGCAGACGGCTGATGGCTTGGCCAGTGTCCCCAGCAGGGGACAATGTAGGGGCAGGACCAGCCCTCCCAAGTGCCAGTTCAGGCAGCAACTGAAAAGGGGATGTTAAAAGAGAAGGGTCCCTCTGACAGGTCTTTGCTTTTATTTGTACTCAGGAACAAATGCTGTGATCTTTCAGCGCTCTGACTGGACATCTGTGGTAAAGACACACTGGACATTATTGGCAAGGTAGGATGAATTTATCTAAGACTTCCTAACAAAGTTATTGGCGCTTTTTTGATGGCATAGAGTCATTGCTGGAGCTAAAACTAATCTGTAACACAGGCAACAGAGAGGAGCGCCCTGAAGGCCTGCTCCAGGATATGTTATTTTCCTCCAAATCAATCCAAACATTAAAGAAAAATAAATTGGAGATCTCAAATCCTGCAAGTACTCTAAAGGGAACAAAATGCACTGGATGTGGCTACTTATTTGGGCTGTAATGAAATACTTTTTGCATAGTGCAACCATAGCACTTTCTCTTTGTTCCCTATATAAAAACACTATTAAAGATATCAAAATGACTGAGTGGTTGTTTAGTTGTTTAGCTGGAAAATGCTGTCATGCTAACTGCCTTCTCCACTCTTTTTTTTTTCCCTGCATGGTAATAACTAAAGAATTCAAAGCCTTTTACAGGCAGTAAATCCAAACTAATTCCCCAGCCCAATTATGAAGTGATTGAAGCTTGATTTTGACTCCCCCAATCTTATCTAATCTCCCAAACATTTGACACTTCCAGGAGCAAGTTTGCAGTCATTATAACAAAATCCCACAAACTCTGACGTGGAAGCTACAGTATCTGCAGAAAGGAGATCAATCAAAAGTAATTAAAAGTAGACCTTCTCAGGCCTCCTATTTGCAGAGGAAGGTTTTATTTGGAAAGGCTTTTTGATAAACTATGGCAAGAATTACTTGTGGAAGAGCATGCAGAGGAGCATGTTATTCTAACATCTTATTTTCTGTAGTTAATAGGGGTCATTGAAGGGGTAGTGGGGGTGTCCAGCATCTCTTGCTACTAGCTTTCCATTCACCTGTGAAACAAGCAGACAAACTCAAGTCAGAAAACTTAAAAAAAAAAAAACCCTCTTGTTCTTAGTTACAAATTTAAACGGTGCAGCATTTGAAATTCTTCACATCTCAACCATGTACAAGCATCTTTTTCACTTTAGCAAGAGCTATTCTCTCTCCTCCAAGTCCTGTAGCACTTCTTGAAAGAGAGAGAGAAAAAAGATGGAAGATTTCTGTAGCCTCAAGCCAGGCTTTCTTCCAGCTGCCGAGGCTTGAAGAATTGGCTTAAGACTAGTTAAACTTTTTGCCTTGTAGCATTATTGAGTAAGTGTTGTAATACACGCACTTCAAAACACTTTATAAAAATCAGAGCATTTGACTATCTTTCCAAGACAGAGAGATGCCGGGATGTTAGTTTTACTGATAGACATGAAGAAACAAGTAGCTTGCTCAATGTCATACACTGAAGCGCTAACAGCGTCACTGGACTCTTTCACAGCACATTTCATGTGAGAGATTAAAAGTATTTCCAAGGTAGACCAGCTTCTCCAGCTGTGAAATGGGAGTTTTGAAAACTAATGTTCAGAATAGGGAAGCAGAGGTTTGGGCTGGCCCAAAAGCAGAGCTCCTCAAACAGAAGTCCCAGGTCCCACATCCCATTTTTTAACATTTGGATGCACAGGTTGCCATCCAAGATGAATTCAGTCTTATGCAACATTCCCACTTACTAGGAGCTGGGGTAAAACCTTGCTCCTAGTCTGTGCATTTGAAGGAATTGAAGTGTGGTATCAGTGAGGAACACAAACCCACCTCCCTAGAGCAACTGGCTGCATCCTGAAATTAGGCACTTGAGGGCACTACAGAGCAGAAAACTAAGACATTAAAGTTTAATATTTACTGATACTCAGTAACTATCAACTGACAACAAACTGCCAACAGTAAAACTTTGTGGGCAAAACAGTCACAGTATCTTCAGGTTTTCTTATACTCTACTGAAAGTCACCAACTTCCTCATATTCTCAGAATTTATATTCCCCATTTTTGCCCATTTCTTCCCCCCATGTTTCACTATACTGAATAGCTCTTCAAGCAAACATTCTTGTCAGCAGCATCCCAGAACAGCAGCTGCCAGAGGGGATGTTGCACATGGCTTTCTCAATCTACCACAGAAACTGGAAAGAGGAGGCAAGGGGGAAAAATGAACACACTGTAGATCAGCAGTAGCTGGCAAAACACAGTCATCCTTTGCACAAGAACATGGTCACTTCTCCTCTCTTGCTTGCTGGTTATTCAAGTTTTGCTTAAATAAATTCCTTGGCCTGTTATGTTTCCAAAGCTTGGGTTTCAGGTGTGGCTAAACAATTCTCCATCTCTATCCAAATGAGGATCTTTTCAAATACCCAGCAACATTATTTAAGCACCTACAAGCAAATGTAACCTCAAAACAACAACAACAACAAAAACAACAATATGGAGAAAAAAGGCACATCTGTAAGACCCTGTAGTTATGTATCAATGTGGTTACGCAAGGAAAACCTGTCTTGTCAGTTATGATAGCAGGGGCTTCGATGTCACTGACATAACACACTTTGAAATTCAGACACTATAAATTAGACTCATAGAGGAGATGGCCATAAAAGGTTAGACAGGAATTTTAATTTTATTTCAGACATGATGAAAATCCTTTCTGATAAGCCCAGAGGGGCGGGCAGGAGACAAAATGTTCTGGTGGAGATCTTAGAGCTACAGACTCACATTTTAATTCTCTTCATCTTGCTTTTTTTCCTGTCTTGTTATCTGACAATATGGCAATATCTTTGAAGCCCAGCTGTATCACATTCACCCTTTTTCTATGCGGATGGACCAACACTTTGAACTGTATTTCATCTCCTCTTTGTGAATCATTGAGAGATGATAAAGTCTCCCAGGAAACAAAAGTACATGAATTATCCCTGGCTAGTCCAAGCCTATCTTACATTTTAAAACGCATTTTGCAGCTTCATTTACAAAGCAACTTTGTTGGCAGAATGACTAGCAAAACGCTTGAAAAAACTGCTGTCTACACCAGAGGTGCATGTGCCCCCACACTCACATGTGCGGACAGCTAAGTGGCAGTGTGGGGTACAGACCCAGGCCACAGGCACAAAGAATCTTGGTTGCAGGGATGGGGACAAGAGGGGGGCATCTATACGTGCACATATTGAAGCAACCCTACATGGTTGCTTCGTGGCCTTGAAGGCTTTGGAAGCAGTGAACGCTGAAAACAGATATCTACCCTGAATGAAGACAATCGTTCCACACACATTTATAGCTTCTCTTCTCAAACTGGCATGCCAGTTGTTGATATGCTCTCAAGCACTCAAAAAACTTGCTGATAAATTTTGGAGGAATGCCTATTCCAAAGAACTCCCAGAACATGTAACCTGGCCTGACTATCCAAAGGGAACGTCCAGCAAGGCAGACATGCTGCTTGAGAGCCAAGGGCTTGACTGACAGCTTCCAAATTTGCAGAAAGATCTGCAGTGCACTGTATCATCACCTAAGGGACACATCACTTAAGACTATAGGGCATTTTTTACCCAGTGACACCTCAGGGAGTGGCAACAGCCACTTTTGTATGGGTAGAAACAGGACAATACATGCCTAAGAAATGAACACAACTATAAAGGCCGGAAACGAAAAGGAAGATTTTTGTAATGAGGAGAAAAGGAAAGAGGCTGGTTCTTCAATATAAGAGAAGAAATAACAAAAGGGCTTGGACACTAAAAAGACACACACATGGGTGTGCCTAGTGAAACGTGCTGATAGCACATGAAGTAAGGGTTTGGGTGATAGGGGAAATGGTGATAATGCTAAAGGATACTGCTGCCAAAGGATTCAGAAAGGAAAATAACACACCAAAGCCAAACACCATAATTTGGAGGAGGACTTTTGACAACAAGAATGGTGAAGCTGGTACATCCAATTGAGGGGACAAATTCTCTTTTGCATGGAACTAATTGCACCTGGACTGTTCATTAAAAATAACAGAGAAGGTTTTTTTTTCAGCTTCTGGGCAAAAAAGAAATAACAATTCTTCCCGCTTGGATACCTTACAAATATGTAGGACTCTTACTTATAAGTGGTTCTGACAGGAGACAGCAAAAGAAAAAAAGAAAACTGCAAAACTCCGAGTTGTGGCCAAATGAATTAAAACTACTAGAAACACAAGAGAAATTTACCGTAACCATCGGCACGATGTAACGCCAGTTTTTATTCAGGCTCCCGATGTGGCTCATCTCCTCTTCTGTGAGACTGAAATCAAAAACCTGTGGAAGGGGAAACAAACAAACACCCTAACCAGTCTCCATTTAATAATCATAAGTTTTTCACGTTCAGTTTCTGCTGAATTTTGCTTCCTGGTTTTATTTTGTAAATCACAATCATCTCCTTGTGCCCTGTATTTCTCCACAGATCCACAGGTGGTAGGATTGACTTAAAGGCCGATTTCAGTAAACCATGACAGAATGAAAGAAGCAGTAGTGACTTCAGATATGACTAATTCAGTATTTAATTAGTGTTTGTAACTGATGCAAACACACAGACTCACAAGAGAAACCAGAATAATTTATTAAGTCATAGTTACATACTAACTCTCTAGACTTTCAAAAAGAAAATCTCAATGCTATATCAGAGTTTCTAAATCCTAGTGTTAAAACCCAAATAAAAATAAACTAAACATGATGCTACTTGTTATAATATTTTAAACATCTTCAGAAGCTGCAGCTTTCAAATAGAGGGAATTTCCATACAACTGCGAGCAATGGAGTTACGGATCTATCTTAAAAAATCTTGGCTCCAGGGAAGGTTTCATCTTTTGTTTATAAATATGCAGTTGTACTTTAATCCATTTTATAACAACAGTAAAACAAAGGCTTAAAGCCTGAGGTCTGCATTCGCTGACCAGTTCTAAAGCCTTCACTGATACTGCCCAGCGCTCTTCCACAAAGGTGGAACTCCTTACTCAGAGTAAGTGCTGCCTTTTGAAATCAATGTTCTGCTCCCATGTAACCTTAAGCCTAGAGTAAAAAACTGCACTGCATTTGCTGGCACTTTTCAGAAATTTTAGCTGCATACTACATGATGGAATTTGGTTTAGCAGGAGTAACAGTTTCACAAACAAATCCTAACTTAAAGACATATATGTAACTGTCCAACCTGCATGATTAAGGGCTTAATAAAGATCACAAGAGGTGATTCAGAGACTTCCCTCCAAATTACTCACAGTGAGAGTTTTAAAGTAACTCCTGAAGTAAAATGAATTGTCTTTAGAGCAGAAAGGAATCACCCTAATCCTATACATTTAGCAGCATTAGAATGGCAGTTTGCTGCAGAAAGTCACCAGTTCTCCCAGCAAAACTGTTACTTATAAATAAGAACCACTGAACAAGGAAGTCTTCGATGCAATTTTAAACTCTCAAATATCAGTAAAGATTGTCTTTGGTAAATGATAAAGATTTTTCACTTAAGACTTTTTACAACAAAAGAAGACTGTTCATGTGTGAACGTGCCCACATACACGCTTAGTTGCTTGGAACTTGACTAGTTTGTTGCTAAATATCTTTACTCTCCCTTCCGAGTGCATGCACTTAGGAACAAGCAGGGGCCAAGTGCCTCAGGTTGTTATGCAGGTGTTAAGACACTATATTATTCATACATATTATTCATAAAAGAGCACTGCAGAATCTCTTGTCTTTCATCTAAATTGCTGCTTTATAGTGAAGGGAATCAAGTTGCTTACCTGGAGGTTCTGCAGAATGCGAGCAGGAGTGACACTCTTGGGAATGGCAACAACTTTGCGCTGCACTTGCCACCTGTTAAGAGGAGACAGACCTTCTGTGCATAGAATATTAAAACAAAACACTAAACAGTTCTTCGGTACAGGGACCTTTTTCAGACACTCTTCCTGAAAGCCCATTTGAACAGAGCAGCAGGAGCTCAGAAGATCAAGCAACCGGTCACGTGCAAATATAGCACGAGGTACCAAACGTGGTGCACTGCTGCCTTAACAGCACTCCTGTCCCACTGCAGTTCCACAACAAAGGTAGTGAGTCCCAGGAACAGATCCCTTTAATCTGGTCCATATTCCTGCCATAAGGCAGGATCTACTCCATCAATTCTGCAGAATAAGCACTGCACAAAGGTTGCTTCTGGTGCTAAGGTTTTACCTCACCACCAGTGGTGAGGAAAAAGCAGGCACCACAGGCAGCTCCCTTCTATCCTCTGTTGTTTGCTCTATTAAGGCTGGGTCCAATTCCACCCTCTCTTAACTGAGGGTACCTGAGGATGATCTGGGCAGGTGACTTGCTGTATTTTTCTGCCAGTTTTTTGATCCCAGGTTCTTCTAGAAGCACAGGCTCATCTGGATGTTTCCACATTCGATCGGGAGAGCCAAGTGGACTGTAGGCAGTGACAACCAGGCCTCGTTTTTGGCAGTGAGCTATCAGCTCATTCTGGGCTAGATAGGGGTGACATTCCACCTGTCAAAGCAACCCACAGTGAGTGCCTGGCAAGAAGGTATCAGCACAGAGCTCTAAACTAACAGGAGGTCAAAGGCATAAGCATCAGTCAGTAGAGCAGTTCATTCCAGTTCCTAAAAAACCTCATGCCTCCAACTTAGCACATGGAGGGTGAAAAACCTTCTTGGAGGCTAAGACTACAGCAAAAGGAGCATAACTCTACTGTACAGTTTTTAGAGTGCTGGGTATCTGATACATCCAAGCAAGGAAGGACGGAGTTGTTAGTGGCTGTCATTCTTTTCTTCCAGACTAAATAATTCCTGATCATTCCTCACATGGAAGGCCACAAACTCTGCTATTCAACTAAGTAGGCATAAATGGCCACAGGACACGGATATAGACCTTCTGTCCAAGGAATGGGTCCAACTTGCCATGCTTGCTCATTGTGGAGGCAGCTGTACCCGTACACCCAGAGCTGCACATTGCATCAGAAACCAACCCTTCTCCCCTTTAGTCCTCTTACCTGCAGCACAGCTGGTTTGATGGTGGCCACGCTGAGAACATCATCGATCTGACGGCTGTTAAAGTTTGACAGCCCTATGGCTTTCACAAGACCTTTTTCTACCAGCTTCTCCATGGCCTTCCAGGTATCCTTGTAGTCAGTATAATCATAACGCATTGTGCCATCGGGATTCTTTGGGAAGGGATTGTCCCCTCGTCTACAGCATCAAAGAAAAAGTGCATATTGCATGATGATTTCGATTTTATTCATTGTTCACTGAAAATATATAAATCAATCCAAAAAGAACAAACAAAAATCCACTTTATTTAAAATATTCTTAAAGGTCTACGGAGTTTGCAAGGTAGCATAAAAAAAAATGAGCAAACTTTTCCTTTGAATGCCAGTGTGCTGACTTAACCTACAGGAAATTGGTTTAGACACTGCTTTGCCTATTCAAACTTTTTGGAGTTGTCAGAAGTACTTACCTATAGGGCAGTGACTCCTTAACACCCGTCAGTCCCTGTATACAAGCAACAGCTCATCACACACTTTGATCCTAGCAAAATATTTGATTTAGACAGGAGCAACTCAGAGCAGCTTTTGCTTTTCAGTTCATTTTGTGGGATCGCTGCTAGTCACAGTCTATTTGAAGCTGCTACCAAAAGCATGTTGGTTTAAGGGTTAGCAAGGAGAACCTACCTATGCAGGTCTGACTTTACATTCCCTGTGCACTCTGCAGCAGTGTCAGCACTGGACTCCAGTGCAGATTCCCATGGAAGTCTTGGCTCGTCCGTGCTGCCTGGAGGTTAGGTGTGTTTCCACTTAGTCACACTGGCCCATAAAAATAACAAAGAACTTGGATTTGCCAGGTGTGACAACACCGCTCTGTAAAGGGGCTATGACTGGTCTTGGAGCAGTCTGTCCTTGGAGGGCTGCCACTCTGCTGGGAAAGTGCCGCTGCGGAACCTCCGAGGTTGCTTTTCTAGACCTAGAGGCATCGTGATCTTAATATGAAAGTCTGTTTAAAATTCCTGTTCTCTGGCTCAGCTTCTTCACAGAGCAGGCTTTATAGCCAGTCAGGCATTGAGGTAGGCTGAAGCAGAGCTAATGGAAAACAGAGTGAATGCTTTTGAATGAGAAAACGTGAAACTGCTTTATGAAAATACCAGTCTCGTCAAGCTTCTTTTTTTTTGTTTCCCTGAGCCATTTAAGTAATTTTTATGTAGAGTAACTAAATACACATCATTATTTATATTACAAGATGTTATCACCTGAACAAACAATGGTTTGAAGGTTTTTGAATTGACTGAAAACAAACCTATTTCAAAAGCCGGTAATTTTTCAACAGACATTGTTCCTGCAAACCAGCTTTAGTTTAAAACACTTCCTCATTCTGTTATGCTGAGGAATACATTTAAATGTAAGAGTTTTTCCTCCTATTGCTGGTGTGGTACACATTGGAAAATTCAGTTCACTTGATGACTGGAAACAACTTTGTCCTGGAAATTAAAAAAAAAAAAGACTGAAGCTCCTTTGAGTATGACAGGGTCTGCTCAACTCAGTGAAGTTCTCACTGCAAACAGCCTGTGAGGCAGAGGTGGGGTTTTTTTTTTTAACCTTTTATATAAAAGAAAATATTACTGCTTCCACAGTTACAAGAAAATAAACTCCGCTCCTATTAACGATGGAGAATAGTGTCCCATAAAACCGAATTACGTATTCACAGCTGGGAGTACTTTTGATCACCCACCTTTAGCACCTGTGCCAAACTGACAGTCACTTAGTGACTGTAATTCCAGTGCCCAGTTTTCTCACTGTGAAATGCAATTTTTAATAACAGCTGAAGGATTTTAAACAAAAACTTAATACTCATTTTTGTGGATTCGTAACTGCTAAATATGGAGAACAATTATCCCTTTTCTATTTACAGTCTCTCTGTACAGTAACAGGAATCTGTCCTCTCCTCTGTGTTTTCAGACCAGCAACAAATCTAATGCTAATCCAATTCAAAACTGAAGAACAGAAATAAGATGGAAACAGTTGCTTCTGTGAATGTGAATTCATCTAAGATGAATAAATGCACAGATTATGGAAAAGTGAAGAGAAGGATCTTACACAACACTCCATAGGTTTACGCTATTAGCTACACCTAAAGACACATTGCAGGCAGTATCTACAGGAAGAAATACTCAGCTCAGAAAGATGTAAATGTACAACTGGGGAGGGTTTTTTTTTTATTTATTTTTTAATTCTGTGCTGTTTCCAGGGTGAACTTACTCAAAGGCGTGAGGCCAGTGCATGAGGTACAGGTCCAGGTAAGCCAGCTTCAAATCTCCAAGGGTTTTCCTTAGTGCTGGCTCCACATCTTCAGGGTGGTGCTTCGTATTCCAGAGCTTTGATGTTACAAATAAGTCCTCTCTTTTCATAACCTTTGAGAAAGGGAAGAGGGTGCAATTTACTGGAACAAGTTCAGGAAAAGAACTGCAGTGATTTCTTCGTTAGCTTTAAAACAAAGAAAACAGTTTAATAAAAAAATATAACCCACAAAGTTTCGCTAAGCAAACAAGCAAACAAAAAAAAGAAACAAACAACCACACACATACTTCTCCAAACTCTCCAATTAAAGGGTAAAGGACACTACTAAGCAGTATCTGATCAAAAGAAAAGAACTATTCAGTTTATTCTTATGCAAATTTTGCAATTTATGAACTGAAAAAAAAATCCTATGCTTCCCTGCATAGTCACCACTATCTAGAGAGTGGGAAGGAATTCCTGGGCCAAGCTGAAAACAGCCTCTCTGTAGCTAATCACATAACAAAGAGATTTCCTTAAAGCACAGGAAAGAAAAGAGGAAAGCAGAGATAAGAAAGATTTATTTCCCAGAAACTATATACATAAGGTTCCCGATTTCTCTTATCAACAAAAGCAAGGGGCCAAATTTGAGATTCTTCCCAAGAAGTAAACCCAAAGAGCTGGGATTGACTGAGAGAAAAAGCCTCCAAATGCTAACTTTATATGCTGTTTTCAGGTTGCAGCTGTCAATCTTGATAAAGTGTATAGTCAGGGTGGTGCTTTTGTGTTTTTTTACCTTGTTGGGCCCAATGCATTCCTGGAAAGCCTCACCTATCTCGGCTTCATTGCTGTAAGCTGCGGCACAGTCAATGTGGCGATAACCCACGCTTAGGGCATATTTCACTGCTTCTTTCACCTGCAATCAGAAACAGGTTACCCAACACGGTCAATGAAAACAGAACACGACTGCGAAGCAGAAAAAGCTGTTAAGGACTCAATGAGAAGAATAAAAAATACCCTTAAAGCATAAATACAGAGCTACATAAGATCATGCTGTTTCACAGACACCCACACTGAGTAGGATATGGTCCTCTGTAGCACAGTGCTTGCAAGTGGAGAGCTAAGCACTAGTAGATACTCCAAAGGAAACAAGGAAACAGGTCATGCACTCAGGCCAAGCATGCAAGAACTCATTAGATAGAAAAGAGATTCATTCTTAAATATTCTTGTCACATTTTCCCCAAGTATCAAATGAGTTCTAAGAAGCATTTTTTTCAAATAAATCATGCTTTAGGGAAGCAAACTAACTGGCCATCAGTCAACATCAGCCAAGCCTGGAAGGTACAGCCTTTCTCCCAGCAGAGGAAGTCAGGTTTCAGAGGAACCAGACTGCAGGTTTGATTCAACTGCTCGCACCTTATTTTTAAGATATAAAGTGACTTTATGGCACGTTTTTCTTCATACTTCATTCTCACTGACTGCACAACATTGAAAGTCACTATACTGCTGGATGTTAGCCCATGGCTGCAGGCAACACGAGGGCTCCCACTGGTGCTCACGGTTCTGCATCCTGCTCTCCCTGTGCCTGGCAAAGCAGGTGTTGCTGACAGGGCACCCCTTGCTCTGCACTGTTGCCTGCGGACCAGAATGGCTGGGAAGGAACCCACTCTGCTTCAGTTCCTGCTTTTGAAAACTCTGAGGAAGCACAAGCTCTCAACACAACATGCATTTGCTCGTGGCCCTCAGATATGTTGCAAGTCTATGGACCAAGAATGTAAAACCACATTTATTCAAGTTTCCAGTGAACAGTGAGCAAATGTTCTCTAAAATCTGCCCATCTCCTCAGTGCTACAGTAAGAGTACATCTTATCTGTAGTGATTTCTGTTTACTGCTCCTTACCAGCTTCTCTCTCGAGGCTGTGGGAGATTGTACACTACTGTGTGAGGGAGGCTTGATGCACAGATTAGTCTTGTCGAGAAATAAATGTCCACAACGATTAGAGGCACTACTGAACAGATTAGTCTTGTCGAGAAATAAATGTCCACAAAGATTAGAGGCACTACTGAAGAGATTGATTTTTTTCAACTTATTCATCAAAGAATCTGCATGTTCAATTTTAAAGCTAATAAAATAATTAATTCCAATCAAAGATATTAACAGTCTAGTTTTCAGATGCTACTCAGAAAAAATGAGGGGGAAATCAAATTATTTCTTTTTCTTTCCAAGAACTGCATAAGAGCAAACACAGGATATTCTGACTGCATTCTTTGGCATTTTGAGAGGAAACATGGACTATAACCAGTTCTCCTTAGCCAGAATGACAAAGCACTTTTAGCAGAACAGTGAAGGAAGTTCTTCCTTTCTTTAGCAGGATGGTTTGTACAATCCTGACTTCACTGTGACAAAGACATTTGTCCTGCGGTCACTATGTAATCAAGGTCATAGTAACTGAGACACATTAAATATAACTTGCGACACATTAAAGGCTATTTTAGGGTGAGTATCCACACTCTAGGAAGGTAAAGAGCATGTGCTTTGACAGAAAAAAAAAAAAGTTCCAAATATACTTTCAAAAAAAAAAAAAAAAAAAAAAGGACATGTTAAGGACTTTTTGGAAAGGAAAACCAGAGTATTATTCATCTGTAGCATTCTTATTAGCCCACAATATTTTTACCTAATTCTTACTCAAACGAACACAGAACTTGCCATAAAAATGAAGTAGGTACTGCTTACAGAAAAACAAGAATACATCACTCCAAACATGTCTCTGCAAGGTGAGGCCATATTTCTTTATCAGTGTGTTTAAATAAATTCCTAGCACTGAGCAACTGAGACTGATTATTTAATCTGGCCTGTGGATTTTTGCAATTTTTTTACTCATGTAAACTGTTCTCAGCCTACTAAGACATTCTATTTTTAACTAAGAGCTCCATGCAAAAGGAAAGCAATCGAGGGTAGATGTGCAAATTAGTATATACTGGAGGTGAAAAAAAAATCTAATAACAGATAAATGTTAATGTAAGCACAAGGAGTATTTTAACAAAAAGTTTTGTATTTTTGAAATGAAGTTCAGACAGGAAGCCCAAGGGAAGCAGTTGGAGGTTCAAATGCCCCTGAATACCCGGTGCTCTGAAGTAACAGTAGTAACTAAAGGATCTTTCAAACCTTTCCATGTATCTTTTAATGTTGTCTATCAGTACTGTCAGGGAAGGAACAAGTACTAAATTCAATTTGCACTGGGCAAGTTGAGTCAGACAGCTTAATTTACTTGTGAACATATAAATACAGTAAGCATAAAGACAGTAAGTCTGAAAGGATCTTGAAAAATCATCTAGTCCACTCTTAGGCCCTACAGTGGGGCCTAGAAAGTCCCACAAACATTTGTCAAAACTACTTTTATAAATGACAGGTAGTCTGTGCCAATGCTTAGCTATCTCTGCGTTCAAGACTTTATAGACATCCAATCAAGACACAAGGCCCTGGTATCTCATCTGCTTCCCCAGACATGAAATTAATTGGCTTACCCTTTGCCAAGGCTTAGCACATTTGAAAATTGTTAGCAGGCCTCCCTTGAGGCTTCTCTTGACTAATGACTGTAGGTGCTTCCATGTTTCCTCAGGAGTCACCTTTCTCAGACCTTGCATCATTCTGGCCAGCTTGTCTTTGGCACCTAGTTCATACATCTCTTGATGTGGTTTGCTTCCAGATGGACACGGTATCACAGCTGAAAGCCTTATCTTCCTCCACTGTAGCAAAGTTTTATGAACTAGATTCCCATTTATACAGCTTATTAAAGTGTCTGCCTTCCAACTCCCCTTTTGTTTTTGAAAAGTGGAGGAACATGGATCCTCTAAACCTGCCATTGTCAGCGGCAGATTTAGCAACAGAGCCTCTAAGTCCCAGGGCATGACCATATGCATTAATAGATTTAGAGATCCTCAATTTGCCCACTACAATGTGCAAAATTAACAAGCTGTACCTATACTTCCAAGCACCACAGAGTCTGGGTGTCCTGGGAGCCTCGTCTGTAGTGCTCCAAGCCATTATAAAGAGGCTCTCCAAAACTTTGCCACGATACCACTCAGCAACAAGTCCATAATATTTCATAAGGAACCAAAACTCCAGCATGAAGCTTTGCCAGTCTCCTTTACAGCCAGGGGAGGCCGTCACAGTCTGGCAGTTTGAGTACATTTGCTCATGGGGAATAGGAAAAACAGATCATCAGGCCAGCCACATGATACTCATTCACATGTGGGATGACCAGCACAAATGCACTACTGTATTGCAGTTCCTACCCACTGTTCTTGCGTTGCTTGCTGCAAAACAAGGAATTCAGAACACCATGTAAGTAATAACTTCTAGTTGATGTACCCTAAAACACTCATTTTTTTCTCCTATTCAGGTTTAATTCAAGTTCTTCCCTTAATAGCATTCTTGCAGTGAATTCTTGCTTGCATGACTGAGATTCTCTAGATTTTCCAACAATTTCAAAGACGTAGTTGCAATCCTACCATAAACCACCCAGTCCAACCGGTTTTATGAGGTGCACACTTCCTTCTCCAGCTTTCCTGAAGCTTAGCTCTGACATTCAACAAGCTCCCTCAGCCCCATATGGTTTCCTCACAGAACTCGCCTCTGCCACAACAGGTTGCACTTGTCCGGTGGGAATTGATACTCCAGGTCGAGGCCTCTTACCAAGTAATTTAAAAGCCATCTACTTCCTATATCATGCTTCTAATGTAGCTCTTGTACAGAACAGCTTTTGATAAATAGCCTCTATTTGAGAAGCAGCAATTATTCTTGTGCATCTCTAGGTCTTTGGCCTTTAGTGGAACTACTCTTATGGTCTTTAATTCATAATTATTCTCCTGAACTGTGCCATGTCCTTTTAGGAGGGAGCTATTTGGGCGTTCTGCCAAACTACTGCTGCACTTCTGAATCTGAAGGACAGATGCAGACAGTTCTGAAGAATGATAAGGCATCTATAAGACTAGCAGCAACTTCTGTAACTCTGGCCCTTTTCACTGTAATCTCATGATCATGTTTTTAATATAAGCTAGGAATACTTCTTGGAAAACAGTAGACATTCTAGAAAAGTAGCTCCCAATGACTTCAGTAAGACCCTAATGGGATCTGTGGTAGCAGACACCATTCCAGATTTAGGTGTTATAAATCCTGCCTACTTTGGCAAAATCCAGCTGGAATAGTCTTAAATTATGCACAAACAGGATCTTTCCTTGTTATTTTACAAGACTGCACTTCTCCCAGAACAGATAGGGAATAAAGTAAAAAACGCAATAATATTTTGTTTGTTCAGTCCCAGGCATATGCTTTAGTGGAATACACACACACACAAATGCTTTGAGTCTACATGAATTCATCCATTAAGTTCTAGCATGTTAGTAAACCTAATTCTGCTGGCAGTTGTTGTGTTAAGTGACAGAGCTGAGCATTCATCCCTGTCCTCATTTAAGAGGTTGACTGAGCTCTCATACCAACCCAGCTTCCACATCAGTACACTATTCCCAACAGATCTACTGTTCCGACAGTTGTTTGGAGAGGAAGACCAACAGTAACATGGCTCTGAATAGATTAATTTTTATAGTTTTCTTTTCCCTCCAAGTGACATGAAAGAGCCATGCAATGGGTCCCTTTGAGAAGTGTTTTAACTCACTCTCTCAAGCACAGTTTTATTAGGTGTAGTCCTATCGTTTCAAATCAAACCATCATGAAGCTAACAGAAGAGCAGCTGCAAAATACACAATGCTTACAGCATGGACATGCAATGGTAGACATGTAGTCTGAAAGATGTTAAACCAACAATACCAACTAAGAGTTCCACCAAGCAAGAGGACGCTCCTTCTGCTGGGCATTGCGCATAATCGCTGGGAAAGGCAGTCTCTGCCCTCGTGAATTTACATTCAACTAAATGAGACAGAAAGAAAAAGACAGACAAGGGAGAGAAGTACTGCACAGCCCACAGATGTTCACACAGTGTGCAAAAGCACCCAGAATTCTTCCCAAGTCTGGTGCTTGCCAACACATTGCATTTGGAAGCAGAGTGCATCATCTAGTAGTATTAACCTCCCTACTCTAAAAGGAAAGGACCTAAGCAAGTCCTTAGTTTTCCTGCTACATATAGGCTGACCACTGCAACAGGACCTACTACAAGATCAGTGAGGGTTCTTGCCTTCTAAAATAAGGCTCTCAACTAAGTCACAGCTCAAACTAGATGGATGCGTGGTCAATCCGGTGACCTGAGGTCTCGCCAGTGGAAAAGCCAAGCACCACATCAAAACTACAGGTTTCTCCCTGCCTGAGCTCCTCATCCCACTGACAGGACTCTTTCTGAACCTCTCTCCAGCAGCACGGCTGCCCAAGGCTTGGGTTAAAAAGTCTTGAGAGATCCTCTGCTTTTGTGTCCTAAAGCCTCAGTTCTGCAGATTTATACATAAGCTCCACTGACTCCAGCAAACCTGAAATTAAATCCACTCAAGTGAAGGATCCAGGCCCAAGGTCTATTTACAGTCTGGAAATGATCATAAAAAATAAAACAAAATCTAGGATCTTCAGATACATGCAAAATACAAATGCAGCTTGAATGCAGACGATACTGATTTATAGTTTGTTCTCTGCTTACTTGGCCAGGGTCACTTTTCCAAGTTCCCAATCCTATGAGAGGTATCTTCTGACCAGTGTGGAGCGCGAGGAATTCGCATGCTGCAGACATTTTTGCCTATAGAACAAGGGAGAAAAAAAACGAAGTATTTGCATCAGTTTAGTACATTGAAAAAAATACTTTTTTTCTATACTAAAAAAAAAAATCTTAAAGGTCCTGATAAAGCTTTTTTTGTTACACTAGAATAAAATAAAGTAGGTGCTCCACAGCTTTGGTGTAAAGGAGATCAGTAGTTACCTGAACAGACTAGAACAGAGGCCTTTTTTGTCTCTGCTCTTACTCTCTGTTCCCCTCTACAGTGCACAGGTTTAAGATTTCTCAGAGCTGAGACGTATATCACAAAGCTGTGTGCAACAAGATACACTTAATACAGAAGCTCAGATGGAAACTTTTTCTTTTTAATTAAAGAAGTCAGCTGCAAGCTTTGGTGGTGCAGAAGGCTGCAAAAGGTGTTTATTTGCTGGCACTTTACATCCAGTAAAGCGCTAAACCTTCCTCTTCTACCAGCTAGCTACTAGTAGATCTCAGTCTTGTGTGAGATGCATTTCAAACACAGACAGAACAGACATTATGCCATTGTGGGAAGGGTCATACACCGATTCATACAAATTCACAGAGCAGTCGCATGCTTTTGTCGCTAAGGAGAGAAGGAAGAACAACGAAGCAAAGCAAATAGTCACTTTGATCACAGGCTTCTCTATCATGCTGAACACTGTGATAGCTGAGCATTTCCTATGTGGAATTCAAGAGAGGATCCTACTGCAAGCTTTGCTCTGGCATCAGCTGCTGGTGTTACAGCTGCTGCAAACAGCAATCTGCTTACAGTGGAAAAGCTTTTCAATCAAAAAGGAAGGTTTTGCAGGCTGTCCCAGCATCCTCACAATCTATCTTTCTGGTGGAACTATTCAAAAGGAACCACCCTCAGGATGTGTTCCAGAGCTGGGTAGCTGATTTCAGCAGAAGCTGAGGAAGTTATTTCCCAAGTTCAGCAATGTCCAAACTAGCTTTATTTTTTTATTTTTTTAATCACATAACATTCACAAGAGGGGAAGCAGGCAATGCCAGTTTTCCAACCATCGGTGGAGGAGGAACGTTTTCAAAGCAAAGTATTCACCCAGCACACTAGGCCAAAATAGCTCTGCCTTGTCCACCACAACGTTGTGGTCAGCTTCCTCATGCAGGTAGTACCTACTGACAGATCTGGTGACACAGAAAGTTTGTATTTTCAATTTCACACTTAGCCTCTCAGAGCATGTTTTTTACGCAATCTACACAGTGCAGACAATGAATGCTCACTTGTTTGACCAAGGCACAGAGCAGAGTCGTTAAACACTAACTAATGGTTTTGGATCTGCCCTGAGATGCATCAAGTTGGTGCTGAAGGCAGTCACTGATTAAACCAGATTGTGGGAGCACCGGGGTTACTTGGGGTAGGGAGTCAGAGAAGCAGAATGCAACACTGGTGACAACCTTCCCTGAACTGGCGTAGCAGTTGGGCAGCCAGGATCACAGACTTTTGTGACCTAAAGTGAAGCATTTTCTCACATCACAAAATGCAGCTAGTGACTTTTTGATTCGTTTTGGCCCATAACGCAAACAGCAACCAGAGCACTTCACACAGCACAACCGCTTACACAACCATCTTCAGCGGAGCCCTTCAGCCCAGAAGACAAGGTACACCTGTTTAATCAGTAACTGGCATCTGTGCATTTGCAGAGGACCATCTCCCTTCACCTTAACGCTGTTGTACATTAACACAGCAGAGACAACAGGAGGCTCTGCAGGAATGGAAATGTTCAGAACAGAAACTCTAGATGACCCACGAATTAATACTTTCCAGTCAGATTTGTCTCCTAACAAGCAGATGTAAGGAACCTACAATGTCACTCATCTTCGTTGCTTTGATCATTAAGAAATTGGAAGCTTTTTTTAGCTTTTTTTTCTTTAACACTAGGAACAAGAACAGCTGTAAAACCAAGCAAATTGTGGACAAGTGAAAAGTGGGTTTGGGCGAACAACCCTCGTCCCTCCTGCTCCCGCGCTCATACAGCATGATTCAAAAGCCCGTGCAGGCGGCCTGAATGCGCGAGTCAGTAGCAATAGTGAGAGCAGGGGAAATCATGGATGCAGTTCATTTCTAATGCAAAGCAACGAGCCTCCCACCTCAAAAAAAAAAAAAAGACAGAAAAAGAAATAACATAACATAAAATAAAATGAAATAAATCAAGGGAGAGCGGCCGCAGCAGCCCGCGCCCCGCTCCCGGCGCGCGCTCCCCCCGCTGCCCGCGGCAGAGCGGGGCGCA